TGGGTGTTTACATTACCAACTTCCACGTTCGGATGGACACACTGGCCCACGTACTGTACTATCCGATGAAACCTTTGGTTACCACCCGTTCCATGGAATATTTGCGTTTCAGAGAATTGCCAGCCGGCATCAATTCAATTGTAGCCATTCTCTGTTATACCGGTTACAACCAGGAAGATTCTGTCATTTTGAATGCCTCCGCTGTCGAAAGAGGATATTTCCGCTCTGTGTTTTACCGTTCTTACAAAGATTCGGAAAACAAACGTATCGGTGATCAAGAAGAAAACTTTGAGAAGCCCAACCGACAAACCTGCCAGGGTATGCGTAATGCCCATTATGACAAATTGGATGATGATGGTATTATTGCCCCAGGCATTCGTGTATCCGGTGATGATGTCGTCATTGGAAAAACTATGACTTTACCCGAAAATGATGATGAACTTGATAGCACAACAAAACGTTTCACCAAACGAGATGCTTCGACGTTTTTGCGTAATTCTGAAACTGGTATTGTGGATCAAGTCATGTTGACGTTGAACAGCGAAGGCTACAAGTTTTGTAAGATTCGTGTCAGATCGGTGCGTATTCCCCAGATTGGTGATAAATTCGCCTCTCGTCACGGTCAAAAGGGTACCTGTGGTATTCAGTATCGTCAAGAGGATATGCCCTTCACATGCGAAGGTTTGGCTCCCGACATTATTATTAACCCTCACGCCATTCCATCTCGTATGACAATTGGCCATTTAATTGAGTGTTTACAAGGCAAATTGGGTTCGAATAAGGGCGAAATTGGTGATGCTACACCATTCAACGATGCTGTAAACGTACAAAAGATTTCCACCTTCCTGCAGGAGTACGGCTATCATTTGCGTGGCAATGAGGTTATGTACAACGGTCATACAGGTCGCAAAATTAACGCTCAAGTCTTTTTGGGTCCCACTTACTATCAACGTCTTAAGCACATGGTGGACGATAAAATTCACTCTCGAGCCAGAGGTCCAGTACAGATTTTGGTGCGACAACCTATGGAAGGCAGAGCTCGTGATGGTGGTCTACGTTTCGGTGAGATGGAACGTGATTGTCAGATATCTCACGGTGCTGCACAATTTTTGCGCGAACGTCTATTCGAAGTCTCCGATCCATATCGTATTCATGTGTGCAATTTCTGCGGGCTAATTGCCATTGCTAATCTGCGTAATAACACCTTTGAATGTAAGGGTTGCAAGAATAAAACACAAATCTCGCAAGTTCGTTTGCCGTATGCAGCTAAGTTATTGTTCCAAGAACTAATGTCTATGAATATTGCACCACGTTTGATGGTATTTTAAGAGGGAGAAAAGCGACGATGAGAGTAATACATAAATTTGAAAAATGATTTAGTGTTGAATGGTTGGTTAATTGACATACATACATAATTTTTAGCATTTTAATATCAAATATCAATTAATAAAATAATTTATATAAGTAACAATGATGATGACTTTGTATTTCATAATTTATGACTATGTTAATAAAATGATTTTTTTAAATAAAAGTTTTTGATTTTTTTATAAATCCCAAAACAAGATGATCTTAATATTACTTATCAGAAGAAAACATTCTGAGAAAAATGTTTAATAAAAAAGAAATAAAAACAAGTAAAAAAGTGTCAGTCGGTGGTATGCGGAGGATGTATTCGAAGTTATACACAGGTTTTATTATTCGTTTTATAGGGTAAACGCACCTAATTCCGGCATGTACCAATAGTCGGCATCTGTTTTATATAACATTAAATAACTACAAAATCCTATAACTAAATATGAAAAATACCTTGAATAATCTTCAATGACACTGCAATCTATCTCTGTATAAAATTTAATCGAGCTAAGTTCATTTATTCAGTCAAAAATTGGCATTTGGTCAATGAGGTTTGTCAACACTAGCGATTATTCATGTTTCTTAAGAAAAAAAATAGTGGGCATGACAATTTCAAAAGACTTGTAACTATATTAAAATTATATTTTTTCACAACGATCTTCTTCATAATTGTAAAGAACATAGAGGAGAATACTTTAGAATATAAAATCATTAAAAAATATTTCTAAAAAAATAATTATATCGATGCCGACCTTAGGAACAAACAATTTTAAAGTTTTCCTATAGACGGCATATGGGTGAATAATAAGCATCTTTTCGATCATTTTGGCTCAAATGGGAAAAAATGTTAAATAAGTCCTCTAAATAACGATTAACTTATGAAAAATTAGTTTTGAGTGTTTTATATAATAGAAGACACGATTTTAATCTCAAATACTTTTAACCTCTGAAATGCCTTATTTAGCCATGCCGAGAATTGGATAGCAGGTTCCCAATGTCGGCACCATGTTTTATAATTCTAACATTTTAATAAATAATATTATTTTATATAACTATTTCAATACAACACTGATGGAAACATCCCATAGTAATAATTTATTATTGCAAATAGCAGAAAAATCAATTAAATATATAACTTTTGTTTAACTAAAATGTGACAAGCCGACTATTGGTACATAACATGCCGACAATTGGAAAAATGTGCCGACTATTGGCACAAATGCACTATTTTAGATTATTATTAATTTAATGTACTTTAATACAAGATAATTAAACAAATTTGTATTCCATCGGGAAGTAGACAAAATTTCGAAACAGATGAACCTGAATACAATACCGTGGAAAATATGCACTTGGAATGGTGAAACGTTTAAAAAGCGAAAATTCTTAAAGTGCCGACTATTGGTGCACTTACCCTATAAGGCATATTTTTAATTATAGATGTTTCGGATTTTATTCAAATGGGAATTCCACTCGCCTAATATTGGATTCATAAATATTGAAAATGTTGACCATTTGTGTGGGAGGTGCCAGAAGCAGTGAATCAATGGGTCCCATGTTCGAACTTGAGACCTAGTTTTGGTAAAGGTAATAGGTCGTGGGGGAGGTACCAGAAGGAGTAGGCCAATGGGTCCCATCTTCAAATGTGATCTAGGTTTGGAACCTTTCAAACGGCTCATATTGAATTTATAAATATTGAAAGTTTTGACTATTCATGGGGGAGGTAACATAAGGAGTGGGAGAATGGGTCCCATCTTCGGATTTTATTCAGGTTCGGTAAAGATAATAAAAGTTTGGTTAAAATCGGATTGGCTATAAAATTAATTTTTAGCATAATTTTGATCATTTTGTGGGGCAGGTACCAGAAGGAGTGGACCAATGGGTTCCATCTTCAAATGTGATCTAGGCTTGGTAAAGGTAATAGGTCGTGCACAGTTTGGTTCAAATCGAACCTTCCAATCGCCCCATATTGAATTTATACATATTGAATGTTTTGATTATTCGTGGGGGAGGTACCACAAGGAGTGGACCAATGGGTCCCATCTTCGGACTTGATCTAGGCTTGTTAAAGATAATAGGTTGTAAAAAGTTTGGTTAAAATCGTATTAGCTATAAAATGGTAAAATACGTTTATAGCAGCAATTTTAACATTTTGTGGGGGAGGTACCAGAAGGAGTGAGTCGATATTCCCGATCTTCGTACTGGATCTAAGTTTGGTGAAAATATTACGATGTGCAAAGTTTTAATGAAATCGGTTACTTCCTTCGAGACCAGCCAGACAAAGTTTACTACAAATCGGATCGTCGGGTAGTTCACTAGATATTATAAAATCAAATTAAAATCAGCCAAATTTTGACGATATTGTGGCGGAGGTACGATGTGCACATTTTAAATGAAATTGGTTACTCGTTTCGAGAGTTATTGTGCGCACCAGTCGGCCAAATAAACATGGGTTCTCAAACGAATATTTCCATGAATCACATTTGATGAAACGAGGGAATTATTAGGGACCGGTCGCAGATCGTTTCTTTACAAACAACAATGTCTTAATTTGGCTTAAGTCTAGTTTAGGGCCCCCTCGAGGATCGTTTTACAATTTTACAACATGTAGTCCTTGGGGTCCTGATTACAACGGTATACTTTTTTCTTGCGGAAATCATCCCAACGGAACTTTGGAGGCCCATATCTCCGGAAATACCGATTTCCGCAAGAAAAAAAGGATACCATAGTAATCAGGGCTCCAAGGTCTACATGTGGTAAAAGTTTCAAAACGATTTGTGAAGGGCCCCTGAACTAGACTTGTTCCCTATATTCGCAGACACTTATTTTACACAGATATAAGAACCTACCTTTCCCACGATTTAAAATCAATCGAGCTTGTATTTGTCTAAAAATGTTATGAGAATTACTACAACAACAGTAAATGTAGAGTATTCAAACAACAATGTGTAAATTCACCACCACTTGCCTCTCTATATTCTCTTTGGAAGGTAGTCCATACAGATCTATTTTCCGAACCTCCAAACTTCTTCTTATTGTCACTTCGGCAAATCTTACAACAAAAGATCACAATTGTTCTAGGGCTTGGTAATCTAACGGTTTCTACTGCCACCGACGCATGCACTAGTTTGCATTTTATCATATTACACATACACTACTTCCAACTTCGCCGAATTTATTGCACATGAACTACAAAACTTCACCAAGTTCTTTATATTTTTTTCCTTTCACTTTTCACATTTTCTTTTTTTTATATTTTCACTAGAATTTTGGTGATTAGTTTCCAAAATATATAAATAAAAACGACACCGAACTATAAAAGCGACACGAAGTGAATGCTGATTTGTGCGCCTTCCAACATTCACAATATATACAACATAAACTACTATTGTGAATGAGTAAAAGCTCTTAACAGCCGTTTCTGTTATTTTCTCTCATGCTATAATTTTCTTTGTCTTCCATTCAAATTGAGTCAACAATGGATATGTTTAAATTGAATAATTTAATTATTCTAATTGTTTTAAAAAATGAGCTCTACTTATTAAAAAAAAAAAACAATTTTTTATAAATCAAAAAAATATGCCCGGCACTTAGTTAACAGAACTAAAAAGGAAACATTTTCCCCCAAACTAGTTCATTTGTTCCCTTTCATTGAATGGTTCAATTGAACTAGACCTTTCGTTAGTTATTTCACCCAACTTAATAAACATGTTTAGGAAAACCGTATCCCTGTTCCAAAGGAATCGTAATAAAGTACTGCTACTTAGTCTGCTACCGCTACACTCCGATCCCGATGATGAAGTCTCGAAAGAAACAAAAACCTACAAATCATTTGTACAGAGACCGCCGACAAATGAAACCGGTTGGGATCGTGTTAAGGAAGTGTTTAAAGTGGAGTAAGTCCAGCACATGATTTATGAATGAAAATCGAAATAACTGTGTCTATCTTCAGTGAATTTGGTTCAATATCACCCGAATTGAATTCCATTTATCAGGCTGGTTTCTTGGGTTTTTTGGTTGGTGGCATCTATGGCGGTATTATACAATCAAGAACGGCATACATGGACTTTATGGAAAATAATCAAGCTACAGCATTTCAGTCACATTTGGATGCTAAGGTAGGTGGTTGGATGGAGTTATTTTGAAGTGGATTTAAAATCTATTTAATGATTGTGTTATTATAGAGAAAACTGCAGGACAAGTTTACTATGAGTTTTGCCAGAGGCGGTCTTAGATGGGGCTGGCGTGTGGCGCTGTTCACCACTTCCTATTAGTAAGTTAAATACAAACAGTTTGTCAACTTAATCTTTTTAGGAACAAAAATATTGAAGATTTCGGGAAGAATGTTAAAACTAAGTTTTAGTTTAAATTCGATGCTTCCTTCGCACTAACAAATTTATTTAAAAATAAACAAAATAAAATTATTATCGATTCAAGTAGTACAAACTAGTAGATTCTTGCAATACGGTAACAGACCAATTGTTAGTCTTATTCATTCTCATTTTAATTCTTTCAAAATTATTTGCAACTCCGAAGTATTTTATTTTCCTTTCAAATGATTTTTTATAACATGAATATTTTTAATAAATTACGATATTATTTTCTTTATAGTGGCATGGTCACCTTAGTTTCAGTGTACCGAGAAAAATCTTCAATTTATGAATACTTGGCTGCTGGAACACTCTCCGGAGCCATTTACAAAATGAACATGGGCTTAAGGGGTATGGCAGCTGGCGGTATTATTGGTGGTGTATTGGGAGGTTTGGCAGGTGGAGCATCTCTCTTAATTATGTCTTTGTCTGGTACTACAATGCAAGAGGTTCGCTACTGGCAATACAAATGGAGAACCGATCGAGATCAGGCTATTGCTGAAACCTATAAGGTAAATATGTAATTTTTAGTATGAATACGAATATATTAAAAATATATATAATTTGTTATTATAGTTGGCTGCTGAAGAAGATTCTCCGACACCAGAAATAATGAAAGCCCACGATGCTAAAGTCGGAGAAAAAATCACATTGGAACATATTAAGGTAATTAATATAAAATATGTATGTTTTGTTAATACTTTAATATCGTATTTTGTTTAATATATGTAGTTGGAACCTGAACAAAATGAAACAAAGACAGAAACAAAACCTGAGACAAAGTCTGAAACAAAACCAGAACAAAATGCAACAACACCTATTCACACAAAATTGGCGGAACAGATCACATCAAAAAAGTAGATAAATTATAATGTTTTTTATAGTTAGTTTCATTTTTTGTTTGTAAATAAATATGTTGATAAAAATACCTATCAGAGGTATTAAAATACATAAAATTTAATTTTTGGCCATAATTAGAACTGTCGGTTTATGAAAAAAAATAAATATCACATAAAAGTGTTTCGGAGTCACCAAACAACACATGTTACTTGCCTAATGGGTCGAACATTGGGCAAGTATCATGTGTTGAAGAAATTGAGAATGAGTCTGTCAAAGTGGGTCTTACAGTAAACGGCGAGAAGACTAAGCTGCTGGTATCAACGTGCAAGACGTCCTGTAGACTCGGACCAACTGTGGTACTTGAAAACTACAGCTTCGAGGTAGTTAAAGATTTTATATACTTTGGCAAGGCCATAAATAAAACGAATGACTTCAGTTTTGAAATTCGGAGAAGGATTGTTATGGCCAACAGATGCTACTATGGACTAAGTAAGCAGTTTAGAAACAAGGTACAAGTACAAATTTCCAAAACTTCCTACACCTCAATAATGATCCTAACTCAAAATTTCAGGATTTCTACACTATTGCTTCACCAAAAATGCAAATTGTACCAAATCTTGTACCATTTAGTACCCATATGTTGGAATTTCCAAAACTAATTCCATACACCAATCCAACAGTAACCTTATTTAAAAAATCTAGCTCTATCGGTTTATCCAAAAACAACTTTGGTACTATTTAGTACACATTAGTACAAATTTCTAAAACTTCCCAATCCTAAACCTTAACAACGATCCTAACTCAAAATTTCACTATCGGTTCACCCAAAATTCAAATTGTACCAAAGTTAGTACCATTTAGTACCCATAAGTTTTAATTTTCGAAACTACTTCATACAGTAATCCTACACTTCAACAGTAACTTTATTTCCAAATTTCAGTGTTCTAGCTCTATCGCTTCACCCAAATATACATTTGGTACTATTTAGTACAAAAGTTCCAAAACTTGCTATATATTCCAATCCTAAACCATAACAATCGGTTCACTTCCATTCACCAATCCAACAGTAACCTTATTTAAAAATTCTAGCTCTATCGGTTTATACAAATACACATTTGGTACTATTTAGTACACATTAGTACAAATTTCCAAAACTTCCTACTCCTAAAACTTCCCAATCCTAAACCTTAACAACGATCCTAACTCAAAATTTCACTATCGGTTCACACAAAATTCAAATTGTACCAAAGTTAGTACCATTTAGTACCCATTAGTTTTAATTTTCAAAACTACTTCATACAGTAATCCTACACTTCAACAGTAACTTTATTTCCATATTTCAGTGTTCTAGCTTTATCGCTTCACCCAAATATACATTTGGTACTATTTAGTACAAAATTTCCAAAACTTCCTATATATCCCAATCCTAAACCATAACAATCGGTTCACCCAAAATTCAAATTGTATCAAATAGGTGCAGTTTTCTAAAACTGACTAAATATCGCTACACTTCGACGGTAATGTTAATTTCAAATTTAAGGATTCCAGCTGCATCCATTCCTCCAAATTCAAGTTGTACCAAATTTAGTACAGTTTAGTACTTTTCGTATAAATATAAGTACACACTTCCAAAACTATGTACTTATATCAAGCCTACTTCTCAACCTTAATTCGCATTCAAGTATTTAGCTCTATCCATTCACATGCTACAAAATTTTACCAATTTTTAGTACAATTTAGTACTTTTCAGATACTCATAGTTCGAATGTCCAAAAAACCCTTTGCTACATATATTCTACACCCCATAAATGACTCTCAATCGAAATTTCTGAGTTCTAGATGCACCGGTTCGCCAAATACACATTTAGTACTTTTCGTTCCATTCTAATACGAATTTCCAAAAACCTTTGGACCAAGGGTGATCCTCACCCCAAATTTCAAGATTCTAACTTCAGCCGTTTCGTTTGGGCGTTGATGAATCGTTAAGCCAGTCAATCACTTTACTCTTTTATTAGAAAAAAAAGAACATTCAGTTTTCGAAATCTAAAGATAATTAATTTTATTAGAGGTCTTTGGTCAAAGCCTTTTTAAAGAGAGTACTTTGAATTTGTATAAGTGTAATTTTCTTATAAAATTTCCATTCTCTTCTTTGATTCCCCTAATAAAAAATGCAATTACAGCTTCGTGATTCTAAATATTTCTTTTATTGTTGACTTGAACTGCAATAAATCGTATTATTTAATTTTTCTTTCTTCTTTAAATTGACAACGATATACATATGTGTTTCGTAGAATACCACAGTATGTTTTATTTTTCTCAAAGAATTTTATATTTTTTTAATTTTTAATGAATATGTAAAGTTCATATATATATTTTTTTATTATTTTAAAAGTAAAAATTATTTCATGATATATATAGAATACTACTTTAATATAGTAATTATTTTTCAATAGGAAATATAACTAAAATTATTTATTTTATTTATCGACAATAGATGTCAAGTAAATTTTCATATATTTGTGTATTGAATAATAAAGTTGCGTATAAAATAAATACTAATCTCAAAAAACATGTATACATATGTAGTATTTGTAAAAATTTCATATATGAAAATAATACAAAAAAATATACATATATCTCATAGACAATGAAAAAATAGGAGTTTTACAACAATAATTCACTCATTCATCGGTAAAGAGAAACAAAAACAGATTATTTTCACACATGTTCTTCAACGTACAAATATTGCGGCGGCTAAGATGAGCATCAATGACTAAATAATACAAAAAAAAGGAAACAGAAACATTTTGTTTAGCAGTCTACATGGTTTCATTTCAAATTTAATTCGTTTCTCGACATATTGTTTTACACTGACCACAGAGCAAGTTCACAAAAAATAATGGGTATATTGAAATAAATATATGTATATGTAAATATATGTATATCATTCAGAACGGTCCAAGACACAACATAAACTCAAGATCATAACCGAGGCAAACAAAAGAAACACAATTTAAACAATAACACACATGGATTAAGATTGTTCTTGTGGTTTTGTTAGGCGTCTAGCACCACGATTTGGTGGTCCTTTGGGTTTGGCAAAAGCCGGTCGGTGGAGCATTTTCTTTGGATGTAGTTCTTCTTGTAGATAGTCCTCGGTTAGTTCAGAGCCGGAATCAATTTCAAGCTGAAGAGAAAATGCAACAAATTATAATAATTTCTATAGATCAGATATTGTTTAGGTGGGTGTAATTACCTTCTTAGCCACATCTATTCCATACGATTGCAATGTTTCCAGGAACGGTGCTTTACAGCTGGAATACATCATTCTTTCCCTGACCGAGCACGAATAACCCGGCATGGAGTATATGAAGACATAGGATTCTAAATAATCACCCTCGTGCGTGTGTTTAAACAAATACAAATGGTAGCGAGCATGGTCATCAGGTACCTGCTTTGGAAGATCAGAAAGTGTCACAACTGCAGCATGGGAGACATGTATCTGTTCCGCTTCTAAATCAATGCGGAATTGTAAATAATCATAGGAGCCTCGCAGCAAATCTTGTATAGCTTGTTTAGCTCCCTCGGACAGTGGGCAGGAGAGACCGCCTAAAGTTTGATGTCTGGATTCAGTATTGATATCCGTATTAATTTCCACTTTACGCAATTCAGCTAATTCCTCTTCGCGTGATGTTAATGGTGCTGGCGATGCAATGGCTCTTTTGTGACGTTTATATCCCTCCAGAGTTGTCTCATCCCGGCTAGTGGCATGTATTTCTTCGGTAATATGAGCAGAACCGAATTCCTGTTTGAGCGTTGCTTTTGTGGAAGCATATACCATTTTTTGGCGTATACTGGCAGTGTCGGGTACCCAGCTGATCAGCAGCCATGCTGGTCCCACCTGGGTTTTACTATCCAAACGATACAGTATATAACATGGTACGTTCTCTTCAATAAGAGGCGTAACGAATTTATCGAAATCTTTCTCCCAATCCTTTTTCACTTCCGCAGTATCGGTGACACTCAGTTCCTCTGCAAAGAAGACAAACAAACAAAAATTTTTAATTGATTATAAAATTTCGTTGATGTTTCACAGCAGGTGGCCCCGCTGGCCACATCATATGCTTTTGTTTTTCCATGCATGAACTCACCATTTTCTATAGATACTTTAATGACACGCAATTTTCCACTTTTAGCTTTTCCAAAGACTTTCAGTGATTTTTCATTAGCTATGGTAGGTTGGTGTGGAGGGGAAGAAAGAAAGCAGAATAATAATTTTCATATATATTTTTTTGTTTGCTTCTGTTGTTTACGTTTCATTGGCAACAGCCGAATTCTTACCTTTTATGCCCGTCTGATGAGACATTTTCTATTTTTATAATAAAATTGAATTATGATTCTAACTAAAATTATAATATAATAATTTCACTTCTATATTTTTTTGGGGGGATTTCTTCGTTCGGTATAGAATTTTGTGCTTTTTGGCGTAAATTGGATTTGGGGGATATGTGTATATTACTCACACTCTCTCTCGCACTACGGTTTAATGAAAATGCAACAACAAAAATTCGTAAATAACAAATTAGTTCGATATATCGAATAATCGAAATCGACAAGAACACTGCTTATCGATATGTTTACGTAGGAGGCCATATGAGGGATATTGCAAACGTTTTATTAATTTGAAAACTTTTGAATATATACAAATTTTCAAATCTCGACGGTTTCAATGGTCTGAATATAATCTCATAAAATGAGAGGTAAGTCCCCACCAAATTTAGCATAAAAGTGAACCTATACCACTAATTTTTCTACGGATATTTAGTATAAAAAATTGCTTCAATTTTTGAGGGATTTTTTAAGAAAATTGAATTGAAGAATAGACCAGATTAGATCGTGAGAGCTTTAACGGCAGAAGAAACCCTAGGAAGAAGTCCCTCAATGTCCGACTTAGCAGGCGGATTTTATGGTATCGTTGAAGACTTTATGGTATATTTATGTAACAGATTGACTGCTAGTGAAAGTTTTTTCCTGAAAATATTGGTAGAAGAATCAGAAAAAGAAAAATATATTAACATTGGTTGATGAAATTAGCCATAAGTCTATAGGCAATAGACTTATATGCTCGGACGGACGATTGTGTCGTGACGGCCTTGCTGGTAGGAGAGAAACCTATTCATAATTCCTATTGATACGAATTGGGAACATTGACATTTCCGGATCGGACATTTTTGCCTGGGAAGAACTCTCTCGTCGTTTGTAGGAAATTGCTGGATTATGACTATGTTTCATCTGTAGCTATTTATGGCTTCGGAGACCGCCTGTTGATGCCCTTCACGGAGAAGTACAACTGCTGGTCAACTTAGTTCCTTGTTAGGGATGTTTTTGTCATTTATGACGTATGCGATATCAATTACCATAATTCGGATGACTTATGTAACCTGACAGAGCTGGCAATAAAGCTATGCGACCAGTCAGTTTATGAGAAGATACCTGATCATCTCCTCAGTTGTTGCAAAAACTGCATCGCACGAAGTTAGAATGTGTAGCGATGCATATATACCACACATAACAAAACTAGATATAGGAATTCATTCAGAATGGCGAAAAAATCTTCCCATTAGGTTTGAGCACTTGCAAAAAAGTTGTCAATCCCTAGCCGAGTCGATCTAGGGTCGTTCCGATGCAAAGTTCGGAATGCGTGGGAAAGAAAGAAGACATTCTTTCTAATGTGAAACCAAAATATTAAATTTCAAGCTTGGTTGTGTTCAGTGTTCAAAATCCTCCACGATGACTCATATATTAGGAATTTCAAAATAAAACATGGTAGTAATAACTTTAATAACTGAAATATATAAAAACAGATTTTCATTGTGTAGTAAACTTTAATTTTTTATTTATCTTATTCAAAAGATATAGCGCATTTAGATATTGAGTATTATTATCTTAACATTATATTTAACGGATATTTTTATACATAGATTAATGATGATAGAATTTAACAAGTCAAATGCCAAAAAAACTAAGTTAATTAAAAATGTAATGTAGTGGTAATGAATTTCAAGGTTCTGTTAAAGAGAAAATGTTAATAAGATTGTCAGATGAATTGTCCAGACCATAATCCTGAAATAACAAAAAATAAACCATATTAAAATTAATAGCAACAAATAACAAAGAACACAATTGAAAACAACAATGCAATCGAGTCTTTTAAATTTTATTTTTATTTTTTTATTTCTATATTAAATATTTTTTATGTCTTAAACAATATTTCTATTATTGCTGTATTTTGTTTTAAGTGTGTTTCTCATGTGATAGATATACAAACCTTTAAAACATTTTCATCAAAAGGTGCATTAAGATGCTGCCATTTTTGGAATTCATTTCCAATCTGACCTTTGGACGACTCATGTTGATAGTTGCTTTGGCAATTGCATTCGATTTTTGTATGTATATAACAATATGTATCATCGAAATTAATGTTACTATATAAATTCAATATTTCTTCCAAAGTTATAAAAGGAAGTAACTGTCTCTCTTCAATGCTATACGCCGTTATTAGATAATAAACATGTAATTTATTTATATCCTTAAGATCCTTTAAACTCTCCATGACTTCAGGAACATTTTCAAATACAATAATTTGTTGCTGTTGCATTCTATTTGCTCCTGATAATAACAAATTATTTACAGATGATGTTAATAGAACTTTTGATGAAGCATTTTCCGATGAAGTAGTTAAATATTCAGTTATTTTTTGCTTTTTATTATCCATAGAAACCTGTTCGTCTAAACGTAAACATTTTAGGTCCATAAAATCGCACAATCCATGGATCATATTCATGGTATTTGTATTTTTAGCAATTATTATAAATTTGCCTTTTGCATTGTCACCACCAGCAGAGTAGGTTTGCATATAATATTGCAGGAATTCCAATTTTCCTGAATCAAATGGTCCCATTTCCGACCACACTGGTAATGAAGATGATAAATATTGCACAAGATCATTGGAGCTTGGTAAGTGTTTAATGAACGATGGATGATTGCAGATTTGTTGTAACATATTTGAAATATTACGTGTTTCAGAAGAATCCTCATCAATTGTGTCTTTGTGTTCGTAATAATATTCACAAATCTGTTGGAATAGATATTGTTGTAATTCCGATGGTCTAATGAAACAAATTCGGTTTTGCAGTTTGTACGATGTTGGTTTATCTAATGTTGAAGGTATAGCACTTCTCACATTTGTTTCATTATCTGATTTATAAATATTCTCACGGAAGAACAAATTCGCATTCGGCTTTGTACCCCATTTTTCCATGGTATTCGAATTTCGCAACTGTTTTCGAAACTCCTCCAATGATTTGGAACTCTTTGGTGGCCTTAATTCTGCTATTGGTTTAAAATAAAATCCTCCCTTTGGTTTTTTCTGTTCCTCGGCCTGGTCCTCCGGCGACACCCATTCTTCGGAGCCCCAATTACGACTTGTCACTTGCCGCTTACGTAGTTGGAAAATTTCTTCCTCATTTTGAATTTCGTTTTGTATTTGAATTTCTTTACCACTTATTACCATTTCATATTCTTCCACCAGATCGGACAATTTAAATCGTGTACTGCAACCCAAATATTTACCCACTTCATCTTTGAGAACTGCCTTCATTGTGGCGGTATTCACTTCCAAGGTGCCGTCACCTTTCCAGGTTTTATGTTTCTTTGTGCTAACATCACGCCACACTATATTGAATAACTTTTTATTTTTGCCAAATTGATCATGTTCAGATGATGGATTGTCTTTTGAACCCCATTTAAGGGAAACTTCATCTTCGGGATCGGAATTTTCATGCTTGTTCTGCGCTGGATTACAAAATCGTTTGCTTTTATTTAGCATCGATGGTGCTTTGGAACGTCTCATTATGGAAAATTATTTGTAAACAAAATATTTTTGAGATTGTTGTGAAATCCAAATGAATTCAATTCAAAACAAAACCCGCAATTTCTAGGACTGCGTCAAATGACAGCTGCTTTTGTTTTGCCCTCTGCCAGAGTTGCCATATACAAAGTGTGTGTATATTGTGGCACAATAGGTGTGTATGTTTTATTTTTATTTCTGTGCAAGGTCTATTAATAAGGTTATCTAGGGATACCGGCTGGAAATTTAAAAATCTAGTAGATCTCGTCTCCCTGATCCCGAAAATATATGACATTCATGGGGAGGTCCTTCTTTCCCGACATAAGGACATCTGAAGCTCCGGAATATGAATTCAGAAACTTCAGATGACATTTATGGACCGATTATGGTAATATTGGCGGATATGTAGAGAAACGCGTTTATTTAAAAGAAAATTTCGATCGCATAGCCGAATTTTCCATCTCTCCACAGGAGAAGGTTAAAAATCCCCGGCCGAAGGCCTTTTTTTTGTATAATTTGTAATTAAGACGAATTTAAGTGAAAGTATAATGTGTACGCTTTACAACTATATCAATATTACCTTCATCGATCCATAAATAACGAAGTTATAAGCATAGGAATTTCGGAAGTTTAGCGGTTCATATCTCGGGAATTATGATAAGGGAGACAACACCTACATGTGGCCAAAATTTCAGAAAAATCCGAGATGAGCCCCTAAATTTAACTTGCTTCGGGAGAAGATATGAATGCTATCGGATGCGTCCACAGGTTGGGCACAGTGTGAAGGACAATAAAATTCATTGGGTTGCTGCGAATTAAATAAGCAATCGTGAACAATCAGGTCGTGGCAAGCTATGCGGATCCAGTGTGATCTGTGAACACTAGTGATATTCTATGGAAAAGTATTCAGACCTGAGGGGACGAAGATCCTTCCCTTCCGTCACCATAGCAATATGCTTTCGTTGCAGTACCTGCTCGGGTGCTTCAGGTACAATCATCCCAACCATCATATGGTGAATAAGACTCCCCCAACCAGGCGTGTCAGGAAGGATCTGCATGATCTAGAGAGAGGTTCAAGGTAATAAAAGGGAGCCTCTAGATCAAGTTGCCTATCTAGCAGGTCCGAATAGCATTCATACTGATGCAGTAGCCGCAGCGCTGAACGGATACAGATTGATACGTAAAAAAGCTACATCAACAAGAGCAGATACAAACGGGTCAGAGACACGATTACCGATAAGGAATTCCTTCCGATTAAGAAGAACCTGTGTGTAGACTGTGAGTACTTCTATGAAGCCATCCCTTACTTCTACTATGCGAAAGATCTATTTACCTTCCTAGAGCACTGACTTATTCTTCCATTCAATGTTCTGAGAGGGTAAACAACTTTTGCACAAACAAATAAGGATGGGCCCCTTCCATTTCTTAACCCAAAATAAATTCACTCTCTTTTGTGCTTCACTGTTCATAAACCCCCATTACCGGTTTATTTTGAATTACGTTGGCAACCATATGACATTCCCATATGTGTCAAATCAGCTCAATTTTGCAAATTTTTTTGTTTACCTTTGTTCAAGTGTCACATTTCACTGATAAAGAATTTGCACCGCCTATCATCATAGAGAGCGCGTTGTAAATTTCTTTTACAAGTGTTTTCTGTTTCGTTTTTGCATAGAATCGAGGTTCCAGTCAAATATTCAACCTATCCACCATGTCCTTTCATTGGTGTGATAATCTGCATACAGCAGTCTTTAGTCCTCGTGACTATCAAGTGGAGCTTTTAGCTGCTGCATTTGAGCGCAACACCATGATTTGTTTGGGTCACAAATCGTCCAAGGAATTTATAGCACTGAAGCTATTGCAAGAATTGGGACGTAAACAACGTCTGCTGGGCAATAAGATTGCTGTGTATCTTAGTTCAAGTAAAACGCCAGCCATGTTTACGATGTTGCAGCACTTGACAGATCTCAGGGTATATCAGGAGGAATCAAACACCACCGGGGGGTTTTATGAATTGCCTTTGGGGTTTAATGTTTACATTTTACAACCGAAAACATGTCTCCAGTTGTTGCGTCAAGGCAATCTGCAGATGTGCAGGATGTATTTGTTGGTACTGGATGATTGTCATCAAAATCATGTTTATTCAGATATACGCGAGATATTTAGTGATTTTTATAAAACCGAAAATATTCATGAAATGCCAAAAGTTTTGGGTCTAGCTGGGCCACTGCACAGTGCCGGCTGTGATTTGGCGGAATTGTCCGCAATGCTGAATGCCCTGGAGAAGACAGTGCGATGTAGAACGGAAACGGCAAGTGATATTGTTACAGTTTTAAGGTAAATCAACATATTTCCATTGCTTTAAATATTAAATAATAATTGTGTTTTTTTTTGCTTCTAGATATTGTGCCAAACCATTTGAATATATTGTCCAATGTGCTCCATACAAACAAGATGAATTATGTTACATCCTGCAAGATGTTCTACTTACACGCAAAGCTTTCCTCAATAATCATCGTTACGACCCGTTCGAAATATATTGCACCGATGAATTTATCGAAGAACTCAAAGACATTCCAGATCCGAAGAAGGAACCTCTAGAATTTCTTGAGACAATGCTGCAAGTGCTAATGGAAATGGGACCATGGTCAGCAGATCGTGTGGCTTTTAATATGTATCAACGTATTGAAAAACAAAAAATAAAAACACCACACGAACGTCACTATATTCTGTTGTGTTTGGTAAATACCGCACTGTTGGAGGTCCATGCAATATGTGAACAAAATTTCCGTAAATTTAAAACTAATCACAAGGAATGTGTAGAGAAACATTCAAGTCCGAAGGTGCTTAGGTTGTTGGAAGTTTTGCGTCTCTTCAAACCGGACGATACGTCAAGCAAGAATGATACTATCAAGAGGATAAGCAGTGAATTGGATCAAATGGATTTTCAAAAATTATCGCGAATCCTGGAGACCAAATGCCACAGTGTGGAGCAGGCAGTGGAAAAGCAACAACTAGAAAGTAGATCAATTGTGGAGAACTTAGACTCAATTATTAAACCTGAGTTTCAAGCCAAATTAAATGCTGAAAATGCACAACTCAACAATGGTGTGGGTGGTGATTGTGATAATAAACCACCCAACACTAATACGAAAAAGACTGAAGATAATATTAAAACATCAAACTCCACAAACCATCGTCACCATTCGAGTTCACATCATAATCGACCAAAACGTAGACCATTTCGTCGACATAATCGTGATCATAATGATGGTTCCGACACACTGTGTTCAATTATATTTTGTAATACAAATTATACGGCTCGTGTACTCTTCGAATTATTGGCCGAAATGAGTAGACATGATCCGGATTTGAAATTTATCAAGTGCCAATTTACAACGGATCGTGTTGCCGATCCCATTACAGAACCAAAAGAAGCAGAATCCGAACATCGTCGTCAGGAAGAGGTACTGAAACGTTTTCGTATGCATGATTGTAATGTTTTGATAGGCACTTCGGTATTAGAGGAGGGAATAGATGTGCCGAAATGTAATTTAGTAGTGCGCTGGGATCCACCCACAACTTATCGAAGTTATGTTCAATGTAAAGGTAGGGCCCGGGCTGTTCCAGCATATCATGTGGTATTGGTTGCCTCGGACACGACAAATGAAACCCACCGACTGGAAGCTAAAAATGAACAATTATCGGATAAAAGTCATAAATTATTGTGTGCACTATCCGAAGATCAAGATAATTGTCTAACTGATTCAGAAAAATCCGACAAAGAAGAAGATGATGGCGATGTTAAGCAGATTAATGGCATTTCTACGAAACAGAAATTTGTATATGGTTCAAGTAAGGGTACCATTAAGATATTAAATCCCGAAGTGATTACCAACAAACATCCATCCAAGCAGACAACAAAAGGAAGTGATATTGTTTTGAAAGAAATCGAAGAGGTAACGCTAACAATTAAGGATGCTAATAGTGAAGAGGAAACCAAGAAAGAAGTTCTAAATTCAAAAACATCGCAAGAAAAAGATCAAAGTTGTGTTTCATCAAGTGTAATTGTAAAAGAAAATGTAACAAATTGTATTAATGATTCCATATCATCAACGCAATCTGCGGATAGCGAAAATGACTTGAATAAATCTGTGATAAAATCTACTGAAGATTATACGGTATTTGATTTAGAGAGTATGATTGATATTGAAGCCAGCAATAAGGAGAATAAAAACGTAAATCAAACTCCAGCCGAAGAAAAGCCCGTTGAAATTGTTAATAATGATAAAATTGATATGGAAAATGAATCAGCGGGCGGTAACCCTAGTGAAGATTATAAAGTTTTCGATTTAGATAAAATTATGGATGAAGTATCGAATATTGAACAATCTAAAGCAAATGAAAATCATGCCGATAAACAACAAATTAAAAACGAAGAACAAACATATACAAAAGAAACCCCTAAAACAACAACGGAGCAAAAAACTGTTGAGGCAGAAGCTGTAAAAAATAAATCGGTTCCGGAGAAAGAAAAAAAGTACTTTCAATGTTTGTTGCAAAATACAGCAGTTGAAGACAATTCCAAGGCTAAGAGTGATGAAACGGAATCAGCTAAATTTCAAAACATGAAGAAAACCACAGATGATATTGTCAAACAAATGGCAGAGTATAGAGAAATCGAAAAGGTAAAAAGTATATAAAAATTATTCCTAATGAAAACATAATATTATTATGTAATGAAAACATAATATTAATATGTGTTTAATATTATGTTTTCATTACAGATGCTCCTACAAAGATGTGCAAATATCGAACCAGCCGAAATTGAACACAAAGAAGCGGACATTTTCAACAATTGCATAAAACCATATAAACCCTTGGCTCAACTGTTAACAGGAGCCTATGTCGATCTCAGTAATTCCATAGCTTTAGTAAATAAGTATTGTGCCAAATTACCCAGTGATACATTTACAAAATTAACACCACTTTGGCGATGTGCCTATACGGTGCGCAATGGGACAATTATGTATCAATATACTCTCCGGCTACCCATTAATTCTCCCCTCAAATATGATATAATTGGTTTACCAATGCCAACACATGTCTTGGCACGTCGCATGACCGCCTTACAAGCCTGTATTGCTCTACATTCTTCCGGTGAACTGGATAATAATTTACAACCAATTGGTAAGGAAGGATTTCGGCCACTCGAACCAGATTGGGAAAATTTCGAGCTAGAGGAACAGGATGAGAAAATCGTGCAGGAAAATAGTGAACCAAGACCGGGTACTACAAAACGAAGGCAGTATTACTATAAGAGGGTAAGTAGCAAAAGTATTTTTTAACATTTCCGTAAATTTTAAAGGTCGTATACATGGGTGGATATTTTAAAAATTATTTTTTAGAGTAGCAGAAAGAGTGGATTTTTTTAAAAACAATATTTTAAGGTGTAGAAACAAGCATGCATTTTTTAAAAATTATTTATTTATAATATATTTATTTATATTCCATTGAAATTAGGAAAAAATCGGTTCAGATTTAGATATATTTATGTAAATGGTACACCAAAGTCCCTATATCTTTCGATCTGCACGAATTTTGGCATAGCGTACTTAACTAAATGCAGAATGATGTGTGTTAAGTTTCGTGAAAATCTGTTCAGATTTAGATATAGCTCCCATTTGTATGTTCTTTGGAGTTTAGGTAAATGTTGCACTGGTTGACACGAAACGTATCAAATTGAGGCTAGTATGACGTTATAGCCTTTTAAAATTGGTCCAGATGCAGATACTGCTTCCATATATATTACAAACGTGTATTTGATTGAGATTAACTTTATGTAACTAAAATCGATTTTAATAAATTTGTCCCATTGCACCCAAACGACTCTAAACTTGACCGAATGAAGTGAAATTTAGCATTGGTTCCAGAAAGAAAACATATTCAAGTTTATTCAATTTCACGTCAATGTTCTTTCGAAAAGGCGGAGTCTGTTAGGTGGCATATGTGGAATATACCCAAAGTGGTGAAGGATATCATATGGTCGGCCCAGTCCGACTTTACTACTTTCCTTACTGGTTTTTAAACAATACCTGAATATTTTTCTAATGAGGCGTCTTTATTTCTCTTTTGCAGATAGCATCGGAATTTTGTAATTGCCGACCAACGCCAGGCGTTGAATGTTATCTCTATTTACTTGATCTCACCCTCCAATGCCCAATACCAGAAGAACAAAATACTCGTGGAAGAAAAATCTATCCTCCCGAAGATGCGGTACAAGGTTTTGGCATTTTGACACTTAAGAAAATACCCAAAGTCAGTTCTTTTCCAATATTTACACGATCGGGCGAGGTAAAAGTCTCATTGATACTACATCCACAACGCATTGTATTGACTAAAGAGAATATCTCATCCATAAACACATTCATAAATTATACATTCACCAAAGTATTGCGTTTGAAAAAATTTCTAATGCTTTTCGATCCGGAATCAACAGAAAATTGTATATTCATTGTGCCAACGGTTAAGACTGGCGATGGTGGCAAAGTTATCGATTGGCAATTTTTAGATTTAATCGAACGTAATGCTAATATGATGCCTACACCGGTACCGGAGGAAGTACGACATGCCACTGAATTTTCAGCGGAGAAATTTAAAGATGCCGTCGTCATGCCTTGGTATAGAAATCAAGATCAACCGCATTATTTTTATGTAGCTGAAATATGCCATCAGCTATCACCGCTCAGCATATTCCCCAGCATGAAATATCATACATTTATGCATTATTATTATTTGAAATATGGTTTGAAAATCCATCCCAAGCAGCCATTATTGGATGTAGATCATACCAGTGCTCGTTTGAATTTCCTCACACCGCGGTATGTAAATCGTAAAGGTGTGGCACTGCCAACAAGTTCCGAAGCCACCAAACGTGCCAAACGAGAAAATCTCGAATTAAAACAAATTTTGGTACCCGAACTTTGTACGGTCCATCCGTTTCCGGCATCTTTGTGGCGCACCGCCGTATGTCTGCCTTGTATTTTATATCGAATTAATGGTTTGTTGTTGGCGGATGATATCCGGAAAAAGGTGGTCAATGATATTGGTTTGGGTAAACCAGAATTACCCGAAGATAAGGAGTGGCCAATGTTGGATTTCGGTTGGAGTCTAAGTGATGTTTTGAAAAAATCCAAAGCCACAAAGGTCCAACAACAATCGAATGACGATGAAAGTACTACGAAAAAAGATGGCAACAAAGAAGAGGCATCGTCTTCATCATCGTCGAAAAAACAACCTGATCTTGAAGATGATTCCATATTTCAGGATGATTCAAATGCTGATAAAACTATAAACGAAATAGTTCAGGATGCCGAACGTAAGCTCAGAGAGGAAGGAGGTGGTTTTGTTGAAATTGGTACATGGTCAAATGATATGGCTGCCGATATCGAGTATAAAATACGTTCCTCCGATACAGATAGCGATGATTATGATGAGCTAATGGATGGCGTTTTACCACCAACAATAAAACTATGTAAGTTTACAAGAAATTTTAGAAAAAAGAACTTATTAAATTCCCAAAAAAATTAATTACAAAAAAGTCAATCCTGTACCTAAGTATTTATATCCTTCACCACACTGTGGTGAAGGGTATAAATTTGGCATAGCGAACTAAATTAAGTCTAAAAAGATGTGTGTTAAATTTCATGAAAATCGGTTCAGATTTAGTGTAGCTTCCATATATATATTCGTCCGATTTAAGGGAACCCCCCCATTCTCGATTTTAATTTTTCAAGAGTTTCAATGGGCTGGTACATCAATACCAATGCTTGGTAAGGTTTGTAACTTTACACATATATAATTGAAGATTTAAAATAGAAGAAAAATAATTTACAAAAAATGTTTGTTGTTATTTTGTCGTTGTTTTTTGTAATTAAAGAAAAGTCCTCATTTTTGATGGCGGGCACGATAACTCCTCACTGGAACATCGGAATCCGAAAATTCCAACGGTGTTAGAAAGAGTACATGTCTGGCTCTCGTATGAACTAGGATTATTGACTTCGCTCTATAATTAACAAAATGGTGGACCTTTGAAAAAATATTTTTGGAAAATCGCCGATTTTTTACCAAAACCCAAGTTAAAAAATAAACACTCACAGAGAAACGTGTAAAAATTTGAAATCTATTGGGTTATTAGTTTTTGAGTTATCGTGCCCGCCATTCGCAAAAAAATGTTTAGAGAAAAACGCGTTTAAAGTTTGAGAAGCCCTTCAGCCGTCACTTGATACCGTCAATAAATCGGCTATATCTTCAAGAGTTCTTGAGATTTTCATTTGAAATTTTGTAGACACATTCTATAATTAGTGTAGATTCGAATTATATCAACAACATTTTTGACCCCGAGAATGGGGGGGGGGGGTTCCCTCTCCCAGATTTAGATATTGTTCCCATTTATATTTTCGTCCGATTTAAGGTACATGGTGCACCAAAGTCCCTATATTTCTCTCGATTTGCACGAAAATTGGCACAGCGTACTGAATTAAGCCTAGAATGATGTGTGCTAAGTTTCGTAAAAATCCCATATATATTTTCGTCCGATTTAAGGTAAATGGTGCACAAAACTTCTAATGTTTGTCCGATTGACACGAAATTTTGTACAACGAATCACAAATTTTAAAAATTATTTTATAAGAACTTGCTTGAAATTTTATAACTCATTTTAAAGACTTGCTTGATATTTTTAAAAATAAATTTTTAGGACATGCTTGAAATCATTTTTAAGGACTATCGTAGATTGTTTTAATTTTTTTAAGGACTAGCGACAAAATTTTTCTTAAAAGCTACTTATAAAAACTTTTTTCTAAAAATTCGGAACATTAAGTTTTTTATCCCAATTTTTCAGTAGTGTTGGCGGTTTATTTGGGACCATTTGTATTTTGTTTTTGCAAAATAGTCAGGCTGAATCCCAGTTTGTTGTTTTTATCAAAAACAAATATTTATTAGTGGGGAATGTATGGCATTGTTTGCCGAGGGGTAAGGCAGGGAAGACTGTGTGTCCTCATCAGTTCTCTTAGTTCTTTGTTGGGATATTCTCCCCAGAAGCTATTGCTTCTATACAAAAAACCTTTCATAACCAAATGTCTCTTGTAACAAAGCGAAGTACTTAGCTGACCAACGACATAAACTGCATGAGAATTTCGCTGGTCCCTCACTTCGAGGTTAACAAGGCATTTACAAACAATACCATACCTTTCCCACTGTTGTGTGTTGTCACATCGCGACAAATGCACACAACAACATTGTTGGTGTTGCTTGTATACAGCAACAAACCAAACAGTTTAACAGTGCCTGCTTCTACAACTTCAGTATTGTTGGCGGTTTATTTGGGATACCATTTGTATTTTTTATAAAAACAACAAACTGGGATTCAGCCAGCCTGACTATTTTGCAAAAACAAAATCCCAATTTTTCTTTAAAAAAATAATCTGATGATTTTTCCTAAAAATGGGTTTGTGGACCTTGATCAATGAATGAAAAGCTTCTTTCTCTTGCATGAATATTATTAAAAATGTAATTCAAATTTATATTTATAACTAATAAATATTCTAATATCAATTCTTCTCAGGCGGTAAAGCTGCACGAGCAACATCTCCCACATTTCATGACATTTCTCTTGACGAGGATATCGAAAAAGAAACGAAAAAAGAAAAATCACAATTTAAATATTACGACTCCGACGAATCACCCTACGAGTCGAGTTTTGCCAGTGATGCCGACATGGACGATATGGAGGGTGATATCGATATGGATGATATTGTGATAACATCAAAAAATGAAGCTGAAACAATTGAAACGGAACAAGATATTGAAAAATTAAATAAACAATTGTCAATAATACAAGAGACCAAGGCCAATGAACGTGACTATCAGGAAACAAAAAATCTTCTAGTTGGTTATAATTTTGCAGACGTAAAACAACAACATGCCGACGAGCTGCAAAAATCTATAGAAGATTTTAAAACATCTACACAACGTTTTGTCACAGAGATACAAAAATCGGGAATGTTAGTAGAATACAATCAGACAATGAAATTATTACACAAGAAATCCAATGAGAATGGGGGCTCCGCAGATAACAAAACATTGGAATTATGTTTGGAGATATATAAAAAATTACTGCCCTATGTAAAGGATATGGATTTACAAAATCTACTAAGTCAAGGTACATTGAAATATGTGTTATCCTTGGAAACTTTACATTCGCTCAACATGCAATGGATAAAAGAACACCCCGATGAGTCGTTTACAATCGAAGGATGTGGAGATTTATTTGATAGTTTTAATGATGCAATTTATCTGCACACCATTAAAGAAGATAAGAACTGCAAACAAATTAAATTAAATTTTGAGATACAAGGCAAAGAATATCCTCCACAAGAAAGTAAAAAGGGAAACAAAACAGATACGGATATGTTTACATTTGGGGGAACCAATGCTGAGCCCACTTTTAGTTTTGATTATCAACCGGATTTGTCTACACACCCCGGACCAAGTCCAAGTATTATTTTACAAGCCCTAACCATGTCCAATGCCAATGATGGTATCAACTTGGAAAGACTAGAAACGATTGGTGATTCATTTTTGAAATATGCCATCACCACATATTTATACATAACCTATGAGAATGTCCACGAGGGGAAATTAAGTCATTTACGTTCAAAACAAGTGGCCAATTTAAATTTATATCGTTTGGGTAGACGTAAAAAATTGGGTGAATATATGATTGCCACTAAATTTGAACCAAGCGACAATTGGCTGCCACCGTGCTATTATGTTCCAAAGGAATTGGAAAAGGCATTAATTGAAGCCAAAATACCACCACATTATTGGAGTTTAGTTGATTTGGTGAATATTAAGAAATTGACAAATGCCGAAATATGTGAACTTGTTCGAAAGAAGGCCGACGAATGGGGTTGTAATTTTACGGTAAATGTTGTTTGGAAAACAAAATTGAACGATGGAAAAATTTAAAATTAATTTATCTTCGTTTGTTTTACATTTTCAGGATCCCGATGAAATGAGTGATGTGGCGCCCGGCAGTGGAAATAAACTTGAACGAGAATGGGATGATCCGAATTATATACCATATGAATTTTCTTGTTTTATACCATATAACTTGGTATCGCAGCATAGCATTCCAGGTAATTTTTGGTTTACATATTTGATTTTTTATTCATTAATTGTTCACAAACCGAACAAAATACCTTGGAATTCTTACGTAGAATTTAAATTTTCCTCTCAACTGTGTTGTGAAAGATTCCCTTTATCTCGTCTATACCAAACTCCCTATTTTAGATCGTCCATCTACTCCTTTCTTTTCCTCTTTCATCTGGTCAACAGAAATACATCTCTATATTTGTATAATTTGCAAATATTCCAATCTTTATATTCCCAGATAAATCTGTTGCCGATTGTGTTGAAGCCTTAATAGGGGCATATCTAATCGAATGTGGTCTTCGCGGTGCTTTACTCTTTATGGCATGGTTAGGAATACGAGTAATTCCCTATGAACGCGTCCCCTATGACCCCAGCAAACCACGAATACCAGGAAGCACTTTACCAGATTCGGATAATATGATTACTGTATATGGTTCATGGTCACCGCCAAAATCACCATTATTACATTACACCCCAAATGCTGAAGAAGCGCTGGACGCATTATTGCAAGGTTATGAGGAATTTGAAGCAAGTTTAGGTTATAAATTTCGTGATCGTTCATATTTGCTGCAAGCCATGACACATGCCTCGTATACTCCGAATCGTTTAACTGATTGCTATCAACGTTTGGAATTTCTGGGTGATGCTGTGCTGGATTACCTAATAACCCGACATTTATACGAAGATCCACGTCAACATTCACCGGGAGCTTTAACAGATTTACGTTCGGCTTTAGTAAATAATACAATATTTGCTTCTTTGGCTGTGCGACATGGTTTCCATAAATATTTTCGCCATTTATCGCCCGGTTTGAATGAGGTTATAGATCGTTTTGTGCGAATACAAACTGAAAATGGTCATAGTATAAGTGAAGAGGTTTGTCCGTGATTTTTTTGGAAACAAAAATACGACAGATAAATTAATATAATATTTGGGTTTCAGTATTATCTCTTGTCCGAAGAGGAATGTGATGATGCTGAAGATGTTGAAGTGCCAAAAGCTTTGGGAGACGTTTTTGAATCAGTAGCTGGAGCTATTTTCTTAGATTCGAATATGTCTTTGGATGCGGTGTGGCGTGTCTATTATAATATGATGCGACCCGAGATAGAGCAGTTCAGTAATTTCGTGCCAAAATCACCCATACGAGAATTGCTTGAATTGGAACCCGAAACAGCTAAATTTGGGTATGTTTTGTACAGCATCATAATTTCTCTATTAAAGGAATTTCTAAAAGTATATTTGTTTTTTTTTAGTAAACCCGAAAAATTGGCCGATGGTCGGCGGGTACGTGTTACCGTGGAAGTCTTTTGCAAAGGCACATATCGTGGTATTGGTAGAAATTATCGTATTGCAAAATGCACAGCTGCCAAATGTGCTCTACGTCAATTGAAGAAAAATAATTTAATAGAGAAACGTTAACAATTTCTTCTTCTTTTCCACTTTTTTACTTAGTTTATAAATAAATATTTGTGAATTGTGTAGTTAGATTTTATATATCAAATTACCGAAATTACAATTGAAAGTTATTATGTGTAGTATTTCTAAAAAGAAAATGAAAAACTTTCTAATAAAACGATAAAGATTTTTTTTCAAATATTTATAATAAAAATTCCATTATGTTTTAAAACGAACACAAACTGTTCATATATGTTGTATTGTAGAAAAAAATTACCATTAATGCTAAATTTTTTATTTAAATATTAAGCAATATTTAGGAATTTTGTTTAAAAACTATTCACGTTTATCCCTTGGCAGCTTTTGCTTTACTTTTGACTTTTTTAACACGTTTCAAACCATCCATATTACTTTTCATAAACTGGGCATACATGGTCATCATTTTGGGCACATCTTCGTGTTTAACAACAGTTGATATCTGTGAAGAATAGCAGTTATAACATGTTCAATACTTATGTTTAAAAAGTATAAAATACCTTTTTTGATTTTGATTGAGCTCTCATAAGACACATATACTCCTCAGGTTCCGGCAAGGCTGGTTTTCCTTCACGAGGCTTTGGTCTATCATGGCCATTATCTGGAATAGAGAATCACATCATTGAACGAAGCTAAACCTTTCTATAAGGTAGCAGTGAGGACTAATAAGATGTCGGGTGATTGTCTATTGTGTATATGAGTTTTATAAAAAATGGAGGTTCGTTATGGAACAGTTACATAGAATAACACACTCAGACATTCGTCGGAACAGTGAACATCAACATTGTTCCCCATATTCACCAAAATAAAATATGCGCAAACGGTTTTAAGTCCACATTCTGTTATGGAACTCATATCATTGGTCAAAGACATGGTGGAACAGGGAACCTCAACATTGTTCCTTATATTTAACGAAAGTTAGCGCATATTGGTATCAAGTCCACATTCTGTTATGGAACACATATAACTGGTCAAATTCACGTATTTGTTTGGGAATATGTACACTTTCAAATATATCAACCTTTAAAATTCTAAGAATGCATACACCATTAATATGATACCGTTTAATTGAGCATTATTCCAAATTCCAAAAAAAGGAAGCTTAAGTTGATATATTTCCCCGAGTCAAAGCTAAACACGACTAGCAACTAAAATTTCACTCGCATGCAACAACAACAACTGCACCATCATTACTACTTACAGCGTTTAAATGTGACGGTAAATGATGAATCTGCCTTCGCTGAAGAGGCCAGCTTCTCCAGGCGAAGTATAAACTAAAATAAATAAATATTTAGTTCATTAATTGTGACACTATAAAAATTAAATCAAAATAATAAAAAAAATACCGATGAATTATCCAGCAAGACCATTCTAATACGTTGGCAGGTTAGTGACAGAAGAAAATTAAACGTCAAAACAACAAAAATTTAAACAATAGGGATGATCACACTCTACAAAATGCATTTGAGTTTGATTGTCATCGATTAAGTCATATTATGTTTACATATACCTAAAAACAAGGGTATAAGCGCGTTTAGACTACGAAATTTATTCGATTAAAATAAAGGGTTATCCATTTCGTTGTTTCTAAAGAGACTGGAATTCACCTTTACGCTAGTGGTTCTACAAAAGGTGGTTGAAAATTACTACAAAAGAACCAGTGATTGCAACAGTGCTTGTGGAGATTATTTAAATGATGTAGTGTTTCCACATAAATGCAAACGTTTACTTTGAAACCAAGATAAAGCTACGTTTGGATTTACGAAATCCACTCGATCTCAAATGTCAATTCCATAGCGTATACGTCAAATATAATCCACTGGATTTGTAAACGGGATTTACGTAGCCTAATCCTTTATGTCTGTTTCAGGACTTTTACTATTTCTTCGATATCATAAAGGAAAACTTGTTTTCGTAGTTTAAAATTTGTTCATTCTGGAAAAGACATAAGTTCCGTTCCAGAATATGAAAGATTCTACAAGTTTTTCATATTTTTACTTGAGTCTATAAAGGTCTTCTTTCTGTTCGTCGATGAAAGACTCTCCATACCAAAACTCCCTCTTTCTTCCCTACAGAAATACTCCTCCATATATTGTTATCACAAAAAAAAAAACATATTAATATATTCAGATATAAATCTGTTGCCGATTGTTTTAAAGGCTTAATCGGGGCATATATAATCAAATGTGCTCTTCGCAGTGCTTCACTATTTATGACATGGTTAAGAATACGACTAATTCCCTGTTACGGTTTGCATTTGATCCGAGAAAACCACGAACACCATGAATTTCGATATCTTAAAAGAAAAATTGTTATCGTAGTCAAAGATTTGAACATTCTTGCATGTTCAGGAACACTTCTACTACTTCTACAAGCCGCCTTGTGATTTGAAAAGTCACAAAGCTAGTAAAATATTCAATTAGATTTAAAGATAATATAACCAAAATTACGTTTTTATATAAAATCTGAGATTGGCTGTTGTATTGATTTTGAGGAACTGCCATCTAATTTTGAAATTTTTACTAGTTTTTCGTTTCAGAACCTTTTAAATTATTTGGTGCTCCGTGAGCGATTTTTGCAATGTTCCCTTTTTCTAGTTTTACAATTTTTTTTTATTAAAAACACAACTAGATTTGGTTGGACGGGCACTACATATTTTGCTTCTGATCGGAAAATGTTTCCCAAATAGAGAATAATTTTGTTATTACCATCTAACTACGATCCTAAAAATAATTAAACATCTCTCTTTATAGCGCAATTTATTCGCCGTATCTCTCTATCCAACGTCAATTAAGAAACAAGTAAATAATCCGGTCGGATCCATAGACCACACCAAACCCTCACACGTTGAGGATGGAGAAGTTTCTTAAAAAATAAAGCGGGAAATACATACGAGGATTTCAGCCATGTCTGTTCCAGAACTTGCAAGAATGTAAAATTGTTTACAATGATAAAAAATGTTGCCTTATTATGTCGGAAAAATAGTAAAAGTTAGTAGATTTTTGCAGTATAGTAAAAGGAAGTAAAAGGAATATCAGATTCAAATTTGAGTTAGGACCAGAGCTCCGAAATGCTCGCTCGAATTCGAGTAAAGAGTGAAACTCGCTCGAATTCGAGCGGGAGTACTCTTGCGAGTAGAAAAAGTAAATAGAGTATACTCTATTTTTCTCTGCCACTCAAATAAGAGCGCAAGTGCTTCGCTCGTTTTCGAGTGGGAGTGAAATACGCTCGAAATCGAGCAGATTACACTCTTGCCGAGTACTCTTTTATTTATGTTTTTGTTGTGATACCGTTGTTTTACTTGATGTTGTTGTGTGCATTGTTTGTTTTGTGATGTTTGGTTTGCTGTACTGCTGGGAAAGCATGCATCAACAAGCTCGTTCTCTGCGTTCACTTTATGTAAGTCTGAAATAGTGACAGCAAGACGAACCAGCCTCCAAATTGAAACCCTCGACAATATTTTGATACTAAAATTAAATAATGAACCACTTATGCATTCATGGGTTTTCTTTCAAACCAGCGCTTTTAATATTTTTGGAGAATACTTTTCCACATTTTTTAATGAATACCATTTTAAAAATTTGTTTGGAGGTGTTTATGCTTTTAAAAAAATATTGAATTAATTAAATCACACGGTTGAATTCATTTTATAAATTGAAATAAAAAACATATAAAAATCTTATATTGTATAAAACTCCTTGTACATTAGAACTTTTTACCGGGTTAACCTACTTTATGAGGATTTATTTGACATATATGCAAAGGAAATGACAATTGAAACCCACTGGGTTAACGAAATCCGGTTAAATGTAAACGTACTATAAGATTTTTATTTGTATTTCACATTTTCAGTAAACAAAATAATCGATCTCCCCACAGCACACAAAAGATCAACATCAAAAAATGTTTGCTACTACACACACACACACAAATAACCAAACAACCAAATTTATTTGTCCACTCGATTTCACTCTTAGAGTGAACTCTTACTCTATTTCGAACATTTTGACTCACACTCTTTTTCTTCATCAAGGAGTACCCGCGAGCACTCCAAACAAAATAAAAGAGTGGAGAGTATACTCCCTAAAAAACTCGTACTCTTTACTTACTCCCACTCGGGAGTATTTTTCACTCGCGAGTAAAATCGAGCAAATCGGAGCTCTGGTTAGGACACCGTTCTCCATTTTACATTAAACAATGCACTTATGTGTTTCCCTAATAAAAACATTTTTGTTTCCTGACGATTTGCTGGAATTTACCCATGGTATAATAATAAAAGGTAACAGCAAGTGTTTTTGTACAAAAAACGATACAACAACCACATGGAAATTTGTTGTTGTAAGTTCTACTAGTGTCAACTCATTTGACAGAAAAATGTAAACAAACAAACAAATTATCATAAAATTATTTTTATTTTGAAAATGAAATATTTTCGAATCCTCAAAATAAAAATAGAAAAACATGAATGAAAATCTATCAAATTTATATTTATATCGCTTCCACATCTTTCCTTTAATTGAGCCATTGCCATATATATATATATGTGTAACACATATGAAAATGGTGGGAATAGCGAGTTATTCCTTCAAGAAAGATTTGCTGCCTCAAACTTTCCCAGCAGACAGATTGATTAAATTGAATACGGGAGCACATTAATAAAGAACAATTTCAAATTGTATGCGTTCCCAATTTTCCTGTTGGGTGATTTTTAAAAAACATAATTTGTCAAATTCATATTGACACTAGTATTACGTTGGAATCAAATCATCTGGGATTTGCTGTTACCTTTTATAATTGTACCATGGAATTTACCCAGACCACTCATTTTCTTCATCAATTACTATCCTTTGTTTAACATATGTTTATAGTTGTCTATGAACATGGCATAACTCAACGATAACCGATGACTTTCTGAGGAAAGTTTGACACATCGATAACAGAAATTATCACTTTGCATGACTAGTGAAAAACAGTGCAGAAAGAAGCCGAAATTTGCAAGCTGTAGCGACATTAAATTATTTGTATAACAAATAAATACTTTATAAAATACAAAAACTGTAATCATGGTAAGTTCATAATATCCGAATCATAAATAAATACAAATTAATCATTAAATATTGCAGGGACAAAATCAATCGTCTCAAGGCGGTTCTGGAGACAAAAAAGATGACAAAGACAAAAAGAAGAAGTACGAACCTCCAATTCCTACCCGTGTCGGTAAGAAGAAGAAGCGCTCAAAGGGTCCCGATGCGGCCATGAAACTGCCACAGGTTACTCCACACACAAGATGTCGGTTGAAATTGCTCAAATTGGAGCGTATCAAGGATTATCTTATGATGGAGGATGAGTTCATACGCAATCAGGAACGGCTAAAGCCACAGGATGAAAAGAACGAAGAAGAGCGTTCTAAGGTCGACGATTTGAGAGGTACACCCATGTCGGTGGGTAATTTGGAAGAGATTATCGATGATAATCATGCCATTGTATCTACTAGTGTCGGTTCGGAACACTATGTCAGCATATTGTCATTTGTCGATAAGGATCAATTGGAGCCTGGTTGCTCTGTACTCTTAAATCACAAAGTCCATGCTGTGGTGGGTGTGCTCAGTGATGATACAGATCCCATGGTCACAGTTATGAAATTGGAAAAGGCACCCCAAGAAACCTATGCTGATATTGGTGGTCTCGACACACAAATTCAGGAAATCAAAGAGTCTGTTGAATTGCCACTAACACATCCCGAATACTATGAAGAAATGGGTATTAAACCGCCAAAGGGTGTCATTCTGTATGGTCCACCCGGTACTGGTAAAACCTTGTTGGCCAAGGCTGTGGCCAATCAAACATCGGCTACTTTCTTACGTGTTGTGGGTTCAGAATTGATTCAAAAATATTTGGGTGATGGTCCCAAATTGGTTCGTGAACTCTTCCGTGTTGCTGAGGAACATGCTCCCTCAATTGTGTTCATAGATGAAATTGATGCTGTCGGCACAAAACGTTACGATTCCAATTCGGGTGGTGAAAGGGAGATTCAGAGAACTATGTTGGAATTGTTGAATCAATTGGATGGTTTTGATTCCAGAGGTGACGTTAAGGTAAAAATTATAAGTTAATACAATTAATATTTGGTTGGTAAAATATTTTTATTGCTTTTTTATTTTAGGTCATTATGGCAACCAACCGAATTGAGACTTTGGATCCTGCACTTATTCGTCCCGGTCGTATTGATCGTAAAATTGAATTCCCCCTGCCTGATGAAAAAACAAAGCGTCGCATTTTCAATATTCACACTTCACGCATGACCCTGGCCGAGGATGTTAACTTAAGCGAACTGATTATGGCCAAGGATGATCTGTCCGGTGCTGATATCAAAGCCATTTGTACAGAGGCTGGTCTAATGGCCTTGCGCGAGAGACGTATGAAAGTAACAAATGAAGATTTCAAAAAGTCAAAAGAAAGTGTCTTGTATCGCAAAAAGGAAGGAACCCCCGAGGGACTTTATTTATAAATGTCGAAAACTTTTAATATAAAAAATAATAATTTACATGTACTACATAATCCTAAAATACAAAATAATTTTCAAATGAAAAAAAATGGAAAATTAAAAACGAAATATGAATTAGATAGAATTTGTACTATTCTCCTCTGCTGCTTGGCTCGTCGTCATTAATAAAGCTGTGGCATTCGGCAAAGTTTCTTTACATTCGGCGATTACTTTGTCCATATAATCATTTTGTTTTTGTGAAATAACCGTGAGAGGTTCATCTTTATATTTGGTATATTGGAAGTGATCGGGAGAGGTTGATGCCTTCAGATCCATCTTTTCGAACTTGTTCTTTTCAAGGAGTAACAAATTGCCTGCTTCAAATTTATCTTCGTTTATATTTTTGAAGAAATTGCGGAACTTTTCAATTTCAAAGCTGGTACGAAAACCATCCTTGTAGCCTAAATCGAATCCTTTTTGAAAAACACTATCCCTGCCGTCGGCGACTCCATCTGCGAAACCAATCTGAAAAAAAATGAAAATATGTTATTTGAATTGTCATATTTTGTGGGAATTTGCGTAGATATTGGCAACCCTATATTTAGTTTATCGTCAATGTTTGACTGAAACGCGTGTTGCAGGACGGGCCGGTTTATTAGTTAAATACCTTTGCTGCCTTGTTTTTAATTTGCTGGAAATTGATATCTTCAACTTCTCCAAAATCTCTCGGCTCCTCTTCACTACAAGTAAGTGGCATTTTATTTCTAAATTTCAAGTTCGAGACTTTTTTATTGTTTATGGGGAAATTTTAATGTTTGCGACTGTGTTGTTGTTTGAACAGTTTTGTATTGAGCATATGTTTTTGACAGATAGCCGTGTTTACACTGTATATGATAAGGCGTATTTATTTCGGTTTGAGTCTGAACTAATAAACTAGTTCAGAAAATAAAAATTTTAAAATACTTTTAACCGGTTCCACATTTCAAATCAAAACCGATCAATGTTCTTTTTGAAATATACAGTAGAAATTGCATATCAAGACAGTCAAGGGACCGTCGAATTTGGTCACTATAAGCGATAGTAGAAACTAGTACAACTTTTGGATTTCGCCGTTATAAGCGATTTCGATTGTAGATTTAATATTTTTTATTCATTGTATTATTACATTATTTCAAAATATATATATATATATATTATTCATTACAGCACAATGTCCGGTGATGATATATCTCATCAAATTTTGGCCGTAATCCAGGGCATACCTGCAGGTGCCAATAATGAAGACTTGGGAAAAAGTCTGCCCGACATTACGGCTGCCGTAAGAGTAGAAGGTCTTAATAAATTATTAAAACAGGGCTCTATAGAAATTTTGAAAAAAGGCGACAAACTTTTCTATCGAGCCAGAGATCCGAAAAAGAGTGCTCTACCCAAAGATGCAGACAACGAGGAGAAAATTGTTTACGGTATTATTGAAGAAGGTGGCAGTAAGGGTATATGGATTCGTGATATAAGAATTCAATCGAATTTAAATATGACACAGCTAAATAAAATTTTGAAAAATTTGGAAACAAAGAAATTAATTAAAGCTGTAAAATCCGTTAATGTAAGTGAATGCCTGAAACTCCTTATATGCCTAATTTTAACTCTACTCTAATCGCAGGCTAGTAAAAAGAAAGTATATATGCTATACAATCTTGAGCCGGATCGTTCGGTAACTGGTGGTGCTTGGTATCAAGATCAAGATTTTGAGGCGGAATTTGTTGATGTTCTAAATCAACAATGTCTACGATTTTTGCAAATGAAGCGTGATAGTGCCGAAAAGAAACGTGAAGGCCCGCTGGCATTTAAACAGCTTTCATGTTGCACTGTCAAGGAGGTGCATAAATTTATATCTGATCTGGGTATTAGTAAGGTAAGATTAGTAAATGCCGTCGAACTTCAATAAGGCGATAATGGAGGTTCTAGTTTTGGATGTTCGACTTCATAAGACTACAATTCTATTTTGTTTTTATATTTATAGGTCAAACTGGATGAAGATGATTTGGAAACAATTTTAAAAACTGTTGTCTACGATGGAAATGCCGAAAGAATTTTAATGTCTGATGGCAGTCATGTTTATAGAGCCATAAATTCTCCTTTGGCCCCTCCTGGCTTGGTCCAGATGCCTTGTGGCATATGCCCTGTAATAAAAAATTGTTCAACATGTGGTGATGTAACTCCAACTAAATGTCAGTATATGAAAGAATGGTTGGATTAAAATAAAATTGTACCATTATAAAATTATATATATTTTTTATTACTTTGTCGAAACGGGGTAAAAAGCGCTCAAAGGTCCCTATGTGGACATTCAGATTTAAATTGCTCAAAATGAAGCGTATTCAGGATTACCTTATGATAGATGATGAGTTTATACATAATCAGGAAGTGTAAAGTAACAATATGAAAAGAAAGAAGAGAAAAATATGGAATGAGGAACTTCTTCTTTTTATCTCTAAGCGTAGATTTAAAACATGGAATTCTATGGCTAGGAAAATTTGAAAAATGACTATATGAAACATCAAAGGTCATTGTAGGACCAGGTCTCTCTTTTAAAATTGGAAAGTAGAATATAACAGTCTCAATGCGGATGAAGAAGCGACGGAAACGATCAAACGTCTTCCCTGTAGAAATGCTAATGGTGCCTTTTGTTATATTATACTAACGAAGGACCCGCAACTTCGTATGCCGAAAGGGAATACAAAACAAATAAATGATATTTTATATGAAAATTGTAAATACTGTGTAATTGTTTGTACTATAATTCCAAATTCCACCTCTATTGCTAAATCTAATATCAAGTGTATTACCATTTAGTACTTTTCGTACACATAAGTACGAATTTCCAAAACTACCTCAATCATGCTTTCAAATACTAATCGTAAGTTCAAATTTAAAAATAATATAATTTGTTGTACTATAATTCCGAATTTCACCTCTATTCCTAAATCTAATATGAAGTTTAATACCATTTAGTACTCTTCGAACACATAAGTACGAATTTCAAAAACTACCTCAATCCTGATTTCAAATATAATAGCAATCGTATGTACAAATTTAAGAACATAGGCTCTAACTGTTCATCAAAATCCAAATTGTACCAGACTTGGTACTATTCTGTACTTATCGTACCCATAATCCAGTAATAGTACTTTATGCTTCTATAAGTTCGAAATCCCTAAACTACATCAATTCTACACTCCAACAGTAATTTTAATTCCAAAAATTCTGGTGTTCAGCTCAATCCGTCCTCAAATATAATTGTACTAAATTTGGTATCGTTTAGTACACGTAATTACGATGCCTCCATATCTTAATTCTAGAAATTTTAGGTTCCCATCCGAATTTCAAAGCTATCTCCATAGCTCAATGCTGAAACAGAAATCTTAATTTCAAATTTCAGGTTTTCAGCTGTATCCATTCACCCAAAATCTAAATTATACTAATTTAGTACTTTTCTATATGCAAAAATACTAAATGCAAATAGTATTTTTTAGAACTTTTCATACACATAAGTACGAATTTCAAGAACCAAAAAATCTAAATTTAGTAATGTTTAGTACATTTCGTACATCTATAGGTCGAATTTCTCGTGTTTTCAACTTTCCATCATAACCCACATTCCAAATTTCTAAATTCTTGCTCTTCCCGTTTGCCTAATACAAAGTGTGCCATATTTAGTACATTTTGGTACTTTTCGTACCCTTCTAGTTCGAATTTCCACAAAACCCAGCCTAATCTCACGCCTATACACCAACAACAACCCACACCTAAAATTTCTAGCTTCAGCCGTTTCATCTGGGTGATGATCTGTCAGTCACTCACTCTCTTATCACTTAGCTCTTTTATATATTAAAGATGATGATTAAATTAAATTCATTATTTATTAAAAATGCAAATAAGGAGTATATGTGTCGGCATAAATTTACATCTATACCGCTACATTTTTAATTTAATTTTGTTACGTAGTCAACGTACCATTTTGAATTCATCTTTATCGGCCGTTTTGTCTTTTTGTCAACGTACCATTTTGAAATGATCTTTATCGGCCGTTTTGTCTTCTCCTTCTATTCGTTAGCAGGCGGAACGTTTTTCAATTCTTGACGTGGCCTGTCATTTCTGTCATTTCATTTGCCAAATAGGAAAAAAATATAAATTGTCAAAATTCCTTTATGACGACCGAACGAAAAAAAGTGATAAATGTAGTGTATTAATTTATTTAAAATAATAACAAATTAAAAAAAAAAAACATTGCCGAGAAAATCAAATGTGTTAGCCACAAAAAATAATTGAGAAAAGAGATATTTCTACAAAAATTTATTATTAAATATGGGTTTGTGCAAGTGTCCCAAGAGAAGTGTGACGAATCAATTTTGTTTTGAACATCGCGTCAATGTTTGTGAACATTGTATGGTTCAGAGTCATCCTAAGGTAATATAGTGGATTCAAGGAAACTCTTTATTGAATATACTACATATATTCCTTGTATATTTCCAGTGCATAGTCCAATCATATCTGCAATGGCTCAGAGATAGTGATTATGTATCGAATTGTACTCTATGCTCAACAGGCCTAGAGGAGGGCGAATGTGTTCGTTTGGTGTGTTATCGTAAGTCTTCTCTTTATATATGATATCATAATTTGATAGATAAATAATTCTGATGTTCTATTCTATTTTCCAGATGTTTTCCATTGGGATTGTTTGAATGCACGTCAATCGGCATTGCCGGCAAATACTGCACCCCGGGGACATACATGTCCGGTCTGCGATACGGAAATATTTCCAACAACAAATTTGGTATCACCTGTAGCCGATGCCTTGAAACAGAAATTATCTCAAGCAAATTGGGGACGTAACGGTTTGGGTCTGACATTGGTATGTTCATATTTTTAATCAAATTATATTAGAGGAAAAAAGATAGAGATCCAGTCGAGAATCGTTACACCATATGTAGCTATCGAGTCCCTGATTACAATGGTATAACTTATTTTCCAAAATTCTGTTGGAACCAATGTAACTACGACTATAAAAAATGGATATTATATAGAAACAGCTGATGTCCTGACTTCGGAGAGGTTTATATTTTATGAGAAATTGACCTCAAAAATTCGTAATCTTTTTATTTCAAATCGGATTCTGTTGCGTAGCCGTTTTGTCATCTTTGGAAGGAAGAAAGGAACAAGTCTAGCGGATCGTTTATTACAATGGTATCCTTGTTTTCTTGCGGAAATCGCAATTTTTCCGGAGATATGGGCCTCCAAAGTTCCGTTGGGGCCCTTGTATTCTGTAATGATTTTTAAAATTTACTAATCTGGGTATCAATTTAAAGCGTTTTAGCCCTGAGAGGGCCCTAAACTGGACTTAAGCTGTAGGAAAGTTTTAAATTCTCGGAGCCAGGTCTATCAAAAAAGGTGATTCTGTTTTGTACTAGGTGTTGACACCTGTTGTCAACAGCTGATCTTCGATCCGCAATTTACAACATAAAAATTATTTTGTTTAAAATTTAATCCACGGACAGCAGTTTTGGTGATATTTCGAATGACGTAAATTGTAAATAAGACCTCAACAGCTACAAAATGATATATGGATATAAAACCAATGCGAAAATACAAGGCTTCCAAGGAAACTTTGAATGTTCACATATCTGAAATTATGGACATCCATTACAAATTTCTAAACGTTCCTCAAACTGGTCCTACATTTGATTTTTTATTTTATTTATTTATTATTATTTATTTTTTTAAATGTATTACAATTTATATTTGTTTTCCAGTTAAGTGACGAACAAGTGCCCAGTGCCAAATATGTCTCAACCCCAACATCATCATCAACCTCCCAAACAGCTACAGCTCCCATGAGCACTATGACAAAAGTTCATCACAGCAATAGTGGCAGCAGCAGCAGCAATGCCATGGAACGTTCAAAAGCCAATGGTGCTGTATTTGCAAATACCACAATGAAAAATGATAGTCCACATTCCGTTTTGCTTATGGATGCATTTAATCCTCCTTCAGGCAGTGATATTCATGGTGGGTTTTAGGAAAAAAAGTAAACTCTCAAAAATTAAAATTTGTTGTCATATTTTACAGCCAGCAGCCGTCGCCCTTTGCTGCCACGACAATCACCCATTGGCGGCACAGATCGTGATGAAAATAAATATGCTAGACGTACTCCGGCTGAAATATTTTCACGTTGGTCCAGACGTTTCTATGCTCCATCGTCGCGGCCACCATGGAGAAGAACTTGGTTTTTGGTACTCAGTGGTGTTTTGGCATTTGTGGTACTAATATATTTGATGGCATTGTTTGGTCGTGGTGGTTCTGACGATTCCATGGACAGTGGTTGGGATAATTCTAATCAACAATTACCACAGAATTCACATTATTAATTAGTTAAGGATATTGAGTATCTCTCTGCTAAATGATGAAACGATATACATATATATTTTTATTTTTTTGTAAAACAAATTCTCTTTATTTTTATTTTCTCAGAAAAAAAGGAAATTCGTGATAGTGATGTGTTTTGTGCGATTAGAAGTGACACATGTTTATAGAATATCATGATGAAAGTTTTTAAATTTTGGCAGAGATTTCTGCATATAGTGTGTGGTAGAGAAATGTATATTACGGAATATTTGGATAATGAATTTGCTTGATTCAGCATGAAATTATAGTGTTATTATGATCTGGCATTCTATGACAAACGTATGGCTTTTGTTTATGCACAAAGGATTAATATGTGTAAATAATTGATCTTTAGATGTCAAGTATGTTGCTGCCAAGTTTGAAAATCATCAATTTTCCTCGATTATTATTAGTTAACAAGTATATTGCGGCTTTTCCCATTTGCGAGAACACTTCTAAGCACTGAAAACATTGGATAGAATAGACGTGACACTAGAAAGTCAGCTAAGACTTCGATATCGATCCTTTAGAATATTAGTGTTGAAAATTTGGGCTTTAATCTAATTTGTCTACTAAAATGCATTCTAATTTGTTTCTCAAATTATCGTTGAAACTCTATTTTTTATTTATTAATAAAATTCCATTTCTATATAAACATTATTTTTTATTTATATATTTAAATACTATTATTTATATACAATTCTAAATAAAAAAATATTAACATATATTGAATATTACAAATTATTTCTAATCTAAAGACAATTATTTTTGCTGGTAGTCAATTGCAATTCACGTTGGACCTGTTGATATGTTGGCATTGCACAGAATTTGATACACAACCAGTCCACAAAGGGTGAGGGACAAATGCGGAACAAATAACGATACCATGTGTAACTAGAGAAACAAAAAATTATATAGTAAATTATAATATATTTAATTCTTGTATTAATAAATAATTTCCTTACCGCCATGGTTCATGAATATACAAAGCCTTGGGCTGACTTGTGGTTAAACACTCCTTAAATTTCTCCAATAAATTGTTATCATTCACTGCATTTGGTGGTTTGAAACCCGATACAACATTCAAATAATCATTGAATCGTTTAAAATATGCACCATAAAATTCTCGTTGCTCTTCGCTAAACGCCTCAAACATGGCCTTGGCATGTTCCTGTTGGCGTGCCGAAATATTACTGGACATAACAAATGACCCGGGTATAAAGTTAATAACCTCAACGCCATATTGTTGCATTTCCATGCGTAAGGAATCGGTCCAAAAACGCAAACCTGCCTTGGTGGCTGCATAGGCTGATAGAGCAGGTAAGGCCTTAAAAATATATATTTTTATTCAATTAAAAAATTATATTAATTTATTTGTTTTTTTACCTGTAGACCACAATGACTTGTTATATTTATAATACGTGCCCGATGTTGACGAATCAGCGGCATCAGTGTCTTCGTCAGCCGCATCGTTCCCAATAAATTAACATTGATTTGCATTTCGATTTGCTGCCATGTCTGCCATTCGTATTCACCGAAACACATAGTGCCCGCATTATTGACAAGGGCTGTGAATTGATATTGATTTGGATCGTCGGGATTCATTATTAATTCGTGTAGACGTTTTTGTGTCTCCTCAATGGTATCCGGTTTACATAAATCCAATTCAATTGTGATCATACGTTTGGGATCACTCAGGTGCTGCAATAGTTTTGCACCGGGAGAATTAGCATTGTGACATGCCGATATGACGGTCATATTCAATGAATGACAATACAAGGCCAAGGAAAATCTGAAAGGCAAATTGTTTGTGTGTGTGAGTTTTGGGAGTGTATTTTTGTGAATGGTGAAGATATATAATTTTATAGTTATTCGATTTATTTGATTGAAAAATTTTGGAATTAAAAGGACATGCTTTTTTTATAAGTCCACGCCTTGTTAAGGTTGTGAACTTATAATATTATTTTTTTTTAATCTACGCCTTCATAAGGGTCTTAAAAAATATATTTATAAATCCATGACTTTTAAAGAGTCTGAAAAAAAATTGTATATGTTCTAATATTTTTTGAGAGAAGCAGACAGGCCGCCGAATAAAAGTAGTCCGGAGTGATATTAGATTTGAATATGTAAATTCCGAATTTAAACAATATTTCTCATCCAAAGGAATTATACGTCAAACAACGGTTAGCTATTCACCCCAGCAAAATGATATGTCCGAGAGGGCAAATAAGACCTTGTGCGAGATGGCAAGATGTTTATTGGAGGCTTCAGGTTTACCAGAGAGTTTATGGGGCGAAGCTATAAACACAGCAACGTACATAAGAAATAGGACACCAACAAAAGTAATTGAAGACGTAACTCCTTTTGAAAATGGCATGGAAGGAAACCATTCGTACATTATTTCAAGACGTTTGGCTGTGATGCAGGAGTATTAAAGAAGGGATGTATGCCAAAAGGTGGAAAATTTTTGGGTATATCAGGATCATACAAAAGGCTATAGATTGTATAATCAAAACACCAGAATGATAGTTACGGCTACGGGATGTAATATGTTTTTAAATTTCGTTTGAAAGAAACCAGTTCATTTTGTGCTGAAAATTTAAAACCAAAATCTGAGAAAAGTAATGGAGAAAATGAAGTATTGGAAATATCATGTGAGGAAAATCCGGAAACATTTTCAGCGGAAGATGGAATTCCTAAAGTGAATAGAATAGCGTCAATGACAGGTAATGATACAGACAGAGAAGAAACAATAATTGTGGAAAATAAAAGAAAACGTGGACGGGCAAAGTTAGCTAGAAATGGTCATATGGGCAGGCCTTGGAAAGTGTATTGCACGGAAAACCGACTAATTGTGAAAAATAAAAGAAATGAAACGTGGGATCTAGTGGAAAGACCTGTGGACAAAAACGTAATTGGATGCAAATGGGTTTTTGTGGTAAAACGAAGGTTAGATGGATTCATTGAAAAATATAACGCGCGTTTGGAGCCAATTCTCAAAATTATGCGTTAATTACGTGGAAACATTTGCACCCGTTTTAAGGCACTCGGTAATTAGACTATTGTTGGCGTTGGCTGCCGATATAATTTATACGTTATTCATATTGCTATAACAGCAGGTTACTTGAATGGTAATATCGAAGAGGAGGTCTGTATGAAGCAGCCATTAATGTTTGAAGACAAAAATAATCTGAATGCTGTTTGCAAATTAAAAAAGTCATTGTATGGCTTCAAACAAGCTGAACGTGAATGTAATAAGCGGATAAATGAAATTTTTATCAATATGGGATTTATGAGGTGTAAATCCGATACATATGTATATGTACTCAGAAAGGATAATTGCCTAACAAATCTTAACAAATATGTGGAAGCAGTTGACCCTGGCCCTATAAATTTTATTTAGGAATGGAAGTAATATGGGACGGATTAACGGGTGATATTACAATTCATCAAAAGAAATATGCTGAGGAAATTTTAGAGCGATGGGGTATGGCTGAATGTAAAGCAGCGGCGACACCATGGAATAACGGCACTGTCTTATTAAAATGCGAAAAGCATTGTGTTAATGTGAACACTAAGGCAAGCTGCGAAACATATCCTGAGGTATATTAAGGAAAACGTGAATAGTAAGATAATATACTCAAAAAAATGTATCAATTTTGAATGCTTTACAGATGCAGGCTGGGGAACTGAGGTAAACGATCGGAAATCGTTTTCAGGGCACATAATATTTTTCTCGGGTGGTCCAATTGCTTGGGAATCTCGAAAGCAGTCTGTGGTGGCGTTGAGTACAATAGAAACAGAGTACATTGATCTTTGCCAAGGAACTAAATAAAACATTTTTTTAAATCCACGCTTTGAATGGGTCGTTATAAAAAATATACATATTTTTTAAAGTCCAAGCCTATTACAAGTGCTTGAAAAATGTTTTCTTAAAGTGTAAGACTTTTATGAAGCCTGCTCAGGATAATCCTTAAAAGTCGCTTACATATTTGAAATATATTTTGCAAACATTTTTTGTAAAAGTAAAATCCCAGACTAATCCATAATAAATTGCCCTAACAAATATACGTTTCATAAGGAACTAAATAAAAATATTATTTTTTTAATCCACGCTTTAAATGGGTCGTTATAAAAAAATATATATTTTTTTAATCCACGCTTTAAATGGGTCGTTATTAAAAAATATATATTTTTTAAATCCACGCTTTGTGTATGTCCTTATAAAAATATTTTTCAAAAGTTCAAGCCTATTACAAGTGCTTGAAAAACGTTTTCTTAAAGTGTACGACTGTTATGAAGCCTGCTCAGGATAATCCTCAAAAGTCGCTTACATATTTGAAATATATTTTGCAAACATTTTTGTAGAAGTAAAATCCTAGCCGAACTCATAAAAATTGCCCTAACAAATATACGTTTCATAATTTTATTTTGGTTTATCAAAAATTTATTTAAATTTATTTTACACATATAATTTAAGTAGATTTAAAAAAAACTTTTCAACAACTTACCCCAAACCCGAATCACAACCTGTTATAAGGATAACATTACGTGGTGATACTTTCATGTGATGGGCACCCCAGCCCAACCAACGTGACACAGCTCGGCGTAGCATATTGTTTTATATATCAAATTGTTGTTGTAAAAATTATAAGTGTAATATTTTGTTGTTGTTGATTTTTTTGCTTTTGTCACCGCTTTTTGGTTTTTCTTTCAACTTTTCTTATATATATGTATGTATGAACGTCTTTTTTTAACAACAAAAGGCTTTTGAACTTCAATAAGAATTAATAACGCCGAACAGCATTTGTTTGAATCAACTTCTTCAAACTGAATGTTTATTATTTATTTATTTCATTTGTTGTTACTGTTGTTGTTGTCGTTGCAGTCGTCGTTCCAACATGTGAGGAGGATGATGATGTTGCTTTTTCGTTTCACAAATATGTTGATGTTATCAATGGACGTTTAACTCTCATACTGAACTGAAATCTTCTGATACGCCGGCTATATTAATGTGCGTAAGGGAATGGATTTTATTTTTGTTCGTGTGGAATAACTGAAGTTAACGGCAGCAGTAGCAGCAGCACTTGCAAATTGTCTCACTGAGATGCAGAGGGAGAGAACGTAAAAAAAATAAATTTATCAAAAATCTTAGGGAGTAAATTAAGAGCGGATTTTGTCGGTCACTCAACATATGATATGATGATAAGTTTTATGAAGTGTAATTTGGAGAGTAGTTGTAATATTTCTGTTATATTTCAACTGTTATAAACACTATCATAAGGTGAAGGGTATATTAAAATTGTCATTCCGTTTGTAACACCTTCATATGTTTGTTAGAAGCACCATATAGGTAGCAATATTTAAGATAGAACTTTGAAATTTTTGCCATACGGAAGTGGTTATAATTCGACAGGAAGTACCGAATTAGATGAAGTACTGAAGTGATTATAATTAGACAGGATAATAAACTACATTATTATATGTCAACGTTTTGTCATTGCTATTATATATCAAGTATGTACTAGAAAAATTTTAAAGACTAAAATTATAATATTTCGTATTTAATATAAAGCGTAATTAATGTACCAAACCGCGGTCATAATATCTTAACATAACCACAAATTTTCACATTTTTTTAATTTTCTCTTACATCACATAAAATTATTTAATTTGTTTTTAATGCACAAAAAGTCTAAAACTCCCTCTAACCATTTATAAAAATCGGTTAAGTATTTGAGGAGTTATTTGCATTTGAATTTAATCATGCTCCGAATTATACTTACTGTTCGATTCTGGGCGCAAATTACCTTAAAGTGGAAATTACCCAAAAATAGAACCGTATAACTAGACTGCTTTTCTAGCATTTAACGATTGAAATTCAGTACAAATTCAGTTTGATTTTGTGCATTAACAACACATAAAAATGAGGATAATGTACAAGTTAATTTGAATTAAGTCTGTTAATACAAATTAAGGCTGTCGTCTGTCTAGGCTATTAGTCGGCCACTATGAAGAAAACAACAATAAGCTATATTTTCAGGTAATAGGAGCCCAGAACCGAAAAGTAAGTATATTTCTTACGATGGTTGAATTCAAATGCAAATAACTCAGCGACCACTAAACCGATTTTTATAAAAAAATGCTAAAATGGTTAGAGGAAAGTTTGAAGTTTTATTGTACATTCACAAAATTTTTCAAACATGTTGTCATAAAAGGGAAAAAATCGCAAAATTTGAAAATTCAAGGACATGTAAAATATCGACAAATTTATTTTGTTAAATGCTAGAAATGTAGTCCTTCCGAAACGGAATAGTCTATACAGGCCTGACACATGTCTCTAAAATGTTTTCTTCATAATAGGTATTGTATAAGATTATGCAATTTTCTTTACAAACCAGCAGGATTACGAACGACAAAATATCCACTTTCTTAAAACCGGGCTTTTGTGTGGTTTTTCATATTCATGTAATAGGCACCCAGAATCGAACAGAAAGTATATTTCGGAATGATTTAATTCCAATGTAAATAACTCAGCAAATACCTAACCGATTTTAATAAATATTGCAGAAATGTTTAGAGGAAATTCTGGAAATTTATTGTACATTCAAAGCAGAAATTAAAATAACTCAGCGAATACTTAAGCGATTTTTCAAAAAAAAAAAGAATAATTTTATCTAACACAAAATTTTGGGAATGTTCGTAGTTATGTAAAATAGCGTCAATTTTTCATTCAAATCCAGCAAAACACTATATATAGTCGTATGTTGCGGCGTGTGCCAGGTCTCGGAAGGGGTCCTATCATACTACTAGACTACGTTTCTAGCATTCAATAAAATAAATTAATCAATATTTTACATTTTATTGAACTTACACATTTTGCAAATTTTCTCTTATATAACAAGATGTTATATAGGTTTTGTGAATGCACAAAAAAACTTTAGAATTTCCCCTAAACATTTCTGAAAATTACATAAAAATCCATCAAGCATGTGCTGAGTTATATGAAAATGAATGCAATCATCTTTGGAAATAAACATACTGTTCGATTCTGATCGCCTATTGCCTTATTATGAAAATCGCACAGAAATGTGGTGTGTAAGTCGGCCAACAAACCTAATCGTTTTTAAACGATCGATTTTTGAGGTATTTTAATTTTCCAGTAACTGAACAGCCCAGAACTGAACAGGAAGTATTTTTCGGAAGATGGTTAAATTAAAGTGCAAATAACTCAAGGAATACTTAACGGATTTTTATAAAATTTGCTGAAATGTTTAGAGGAAATTCTGAAGATTTATTACATACTGACATTACATATATACAATTATGTTATATAAGAGAAAATTATCATTATGTAAATGTTAATGAAGATGTATACCCTCACTCTATGGTTTGCGGATGAGGTCTTCGAAGTTATACACAGAGTTTTTTATTCGTTTTTCGTTTGTTTCGGACTTTATGTTGATGATACTTTTTCAAACTTGATTTATTATTGGCGTTTGGTTAATATAATAGGTTTGGATTTATAATCAAAGTTTAGGTGGTGCCAAATCGGACATTCCATTAGTCTGATATTGGATTTATAAATATTGTAAATGTTGACCAATTGTGGGGATGGTAGAGAAGGTGTGGACCAATGGGTCCAATCTTCAAACTTTATCTAGGATTGTTAAAGATAATAGGTTGTACAAAGTTTCGTTAAAATCGGATAGTCTGTTTACATGTTATTATAAAATTAATTTTTAACACAATTTTGACCATTTTGTGGGGGGAGGTACCAGAAGGAGTGGACTGATATTCCAAATCTTGGAAATAAAACTAAGTGTGGATGAAATGTGCTAAGTTTGGATGCAATTGATTATTCTCTTCGAGAGTTATCGTGTGCTCCTGCCAGCCAGACAGTCATTTGTATAAGAATTTTACTGGTATATAACATAATTGTGTGTTGTCAATATATAATAAAACTTCAAAATTCCTCTTAATCAATTCTGCAAATTTTATAAAAATCCATTAAGTATTCGCTGAGTTATTTACATTTGAATTCAACAACATTTCCAATATACATATAATATACTTCATTGTTTGGTTCTTCTATGTATCAAGTCGTGGACTTTTCCATTGATTTGTTATTTGTTTGGGGTATCTCACGGTCTGCACCATTTAGCTACAGTGTATTGTAGGTAGTTATCAAAAAAAATTGTCGATATTTTACATATCCTCGAACTTTCACATAATGCGATTTTTTGCATATATAACATAATTTTATTCACTGATTTTCAATTTGTAATAAAACTTTAGATTTCCCTCTAACCCATTCTGTTAATTTGATAAAAATCGGTCTAGTATTTGCTGAGTTATTTGCATTTGAATTCAATCATCATGCAAAATATACTTACTGTTCGCTTCTGTTGGCCTATTAGCTGAAAATGAAAAACCTCACAAGAATCCATTTTGTAAAACGGGGTAAATTTTGTTTCGTCTTCTTCTTCTTCTTTGGTAACTTTAAAATGTAAAGAAAAAAATTGTAGCATACTTTTAGGATGACAAAATTAGTTTATTAACTCGATTTAAAAGAACGTAAAAAAATGACAAGAACACAGCTAGAAAACAACGATTATTTCAGTGAATATATATAAATTAATTTAATTTATTATTGTATTTTGTTCTATACTCTTCTAGCTACGTTTAACTAAACGTAAAAAGGATTGCAATGAACCACAGCCAATAATTTGTGTTTCTCTTAAAGCCGAAATTTTTTACTTCAACATCTTTAAATTTCTTTTTAAAACATAATAAATTACTATTTTGTAATAGAATTCTGTTTTATCATAAAGCTAGGAGTGTATAGACCAAGATACAATAATACATTAAATTAATTTATAGAAATTCACGGAGATAATTGTTGTTTTTTAGCTGTGTTCTTGTCATTTTTTTAAGTTCTTTTAAATCGAGATAATAAACTAATTTGGTCATCCTAAAAGTATGCCACAATTTTTATTTACATTTTAATGAAACCAAAGAAGAAGACGAAAGAAACAAAATTTACCCCGTTTAACAAAATGGATTTTTGTGTGGTTTTTCATTTTCAGCTAATAGGCCAACAGAAGCGAACAGTAAGTATATTTTGCATGATGATTGAATTCAAATGCTAATAACTCAGCAAATACTTGACCGATTTTTATGAAATTTACAGAATGGGTTAGAGGGAAATTTGAAGTTTTATTACATATTAAAAATCAGTGAATAAAATTATGTTATGTATGCAAAAAATTGCATTATGTGAAAGTTCGAGAATATGTAAAATATCGTCAAATTTTTTTGATAACTACCTGCAATGCATTGTAGCTAAATGGTGCAGACCGTGAGATACCCCAAACAAATAACAAATCTATGGAAAAGTCCATGACTTGATACATAGAAGAACCAAACAATGAAGTATATATTGGAATGTTGTTGAAATCAAATGTAAATAACTCAGCGAATATTTAATGGATTTTTATACAATTTGCAGAAATGGTTAGGAGGAATTTTGATGTTTTATTATATATTGGCAATACATAAACACATCTATGTTATAAATGGGAGCAAAATTGTTATAGTGTAAATGCTCGTGGATA